GGAAAGTGAAGGTCATTTTTTCTTGGTCACCAAGTGCAACTGGAATCTGATGTAAACCTGAAAAACCATCTATGCAACAATAATGGGAATGACCTGCTAAACGTTCAAGCATTTGATCAATAAAAGGAAGTGGAAAATGATCTTTTCGAGTTGATGCATTTAATTTTCTGTAATCTACACACATTCGACACCCATTTTGAATACGAGTGGGCACCAACTCACCATTATCATTTTCTATCACTGTTATACCTGTTTTCTTTGGGACAACGTGTACAGGACTTACCCACTTGCTATCTGAGATTGGATATATTATACCTGCATCAAGAAGTTTCAATATTTCTTTTTTAACCACTTCCATCATGGGTGGGTTCAATCGGCGTTGGGCCTGTTTAGAAGGCTTACACTCATCTTCCAACAATATTCGGTACATACAAGTAGAAGGGCTCAATCCCTTGATGTCAGCTATAGTCCAACCTATAGCTTGCTTATATTCCCTAAGCACTCGGATCAATTTTTCTTCTTCCAATGTAGATAGGTTTTTGGAGATTAGCACGGGAAGAGTCTCTTCATCCCCTAAGAATGCATACTTTAAATGATCTGGCAATGGTTTCAATTCAATCTTTGGAGCTTGAACAATAGAAGGAAGGAGTTTTGTGTCAGATATAGGCAACTCAATATAATAAGCATTATATTTCATTGGCTTAAGCGACTCCAACTCATGAACAATATCTTGCAAATCAATATCCAAAGAAAACTTATTCATGATTTTCTTCAACCAATCAGGGGTAAAATTCAAGTTTAGTGCAACCTCTAAGGCATTATTATCCGTCAAATAAGAAATTTTCTGCACAAAAGGGTCAACAACATCTACTAGAGAAACAGACGACACATCATTAGGACATTTCATAGCATTATAAATGTTAAACTTAATGAATTCACCATCAAATTCCATTGTGAGTGTACGATCATGCACATCAATTTTAGTTCTAGATGTTTTCAAAAATGGCCTTCCTAATAAGATTAATGAAGAATTAGTAGAATTATCTTCTTCCATATCTAACACATAAAAATCAGCAGGAAAAATCAACCCATCAACTTGCACTAAAACATTTTATAAAACCCCCACAGGATAAACATTAGATCTATCAGCAAGTTGAAGAATTACACCAGTTTCTTTTAAAGAAACAATATTCAAAGATGAATAAATAAATAAAGGCATCACATTAATTGAAGCTCCTAGATCTAACATTTCTCTTTCAACATTAACATTGCCAATTTTGCAGGGGATAGTAAACATACAAGGATCTTTGCATTTAGGAGGCAACTTCATTTGTAGAACAGCTAAAACATTTTCCCCCATGCTTACCATTTCATTCCCTTTCAATTTCTTTTATTTGTGCACAACTCTTTAAGAAATTTAGCATATCGAGGAATTTGTTTAATAACATCAAGTAAAGGAATATTTACCTCAACCTTTCGAAATGTGTCAAGTATTTATTTTTGTTCTTCATCCTTTTTTTGATTTTGCCAATCTACTAGGAAAAGGGGGAGGAATTACCACATCCTTCGGATGTTCTTTGACAAGCTTTTGATCATTTTGGGGTGGATGGACTTCTTTTTCCTTTTCTTCATCTCGGTTGTGTCTGCTTTTCACTTGAGTAGGTTCTTGCAGCTCTTTCCCACTTCTCAAGGTAACTGCACTTGCATTTTGCTTTGTATTTACAACAGTTTGTGAGGGTAATTTACCTTGAGACTCCAATCTACTCACGGTAGATGCTAGTTGGCTCACCTGACTTTCCAAATGTTAAATACTTGTTCTTGTTTCTTGCTGAAATTGTTGTGTGTTAGTAGCAAGTGATTTAACAATATCTTCCAGTGACATACCTGAATTAGAAGATGAAGGTTGTTGAATTGGTTGTCTAGGTTGAAACTGTGGAAATTGTGGACGCGGCTTGTAGCTGAAATTTGGATGATCCCTCCATCCATGGTTATATGTATTTGAGTAAGGATCATAATTTCTTTGTGGTTGGCCCGAGAATCATCCAATTGCATTAGCTTGCTCACACAAATCGTATTGAAGTGTTGGGCACATTTCAGTTTGGTGTCCAGTAGCAGCACATACCCCACATGCTTTTACTTGCTGCATATTTCCTACAGCTAACTGTTGAACAAGAGTAGTTAAATGAGATAGTTTATTCTCAATGGAAGAAATGTTTACCTCGTTCACTCTTCTAGAAGACGTATCCTGTTTGCATCCAAATTGTTGTGAATTGGCAGCCATTATTGATATTAACTCTCTAGCTTCTTGGGGAGTTTTATTCACTATAGCACCTCCACTAGCTGCATCCATCATTTTTCTCTCCATGGGAAGCAATCCTTTAGAAATGTATTGAATGAGGAGTTGTTCAGAAACTCCATGTTGGGGGCAACTTGCACACAGTTGCTTGAAGCGTTCCAGTACTCGTGGTGGGTCTCTACGTCTCTTTGCTTAATGCCACATATTTCTCTTCTAATATTGGCAGCTCGTGACGCTGGAAAAAAATTTTCAAGGAACAATCTTACCATTTCATTCCATGTGGTTATTGAGCCAAAAGGAAGGTAAAATAACCAATCATTTGCTCTATCGGCTAGTGAGAATGTGAAGGCGCGCAGTTTGATTTGATCTTCCGTTACTCCTTGTGGTTTGAAGCTCGAACACACCACGTGGAACTCCTTTAGGTTCTTATGTGGATCTTCATTTTCAAGTCCATGAAAAGTTGGAAGTAATTGAATCAAACCTGAACGTAATTCAAAACCAACCTCTATTGCTGGATGTTGAATACAAAGCGGTTGTTGATTCACATTTGGTGCCGAAAGCTCCTGCAAGGTCCTTTGTTCTTCGGCCATTGCTTGCTCTACTTCGGGGTCGTAACAAGAGGCAGTTGATTCCGTTGTGGTATTTGATTGAAGGGATGTTGAAGAAAGGTCTTGATTTTTGCGCAATTTAGTTTCCTTCCTCAACCTTTTAGCAGTCTTCTCAATCTCAGGATCGTATTGCAATTAACCTGTATGAGAAGAACGTAACATAAAAATAAATCTATTTGACACCAATCCCCGGCAATGGCGCCAAAAATTTGATGGGTGTCGAAACGAACAAATAATAAATTACTTACTCTATAATTGGCAATACTGATGAGTAAGGTCGTACCCACAGAGATTGGTCAGACTTATTTTTAATCAAAGATTTAATAAAGAAAGATATGAGAATTGAAAATTAAATAGCAACCATAAAAAGGCAAACAATATGAAATATCAAATAATAATAATAATAATAATCAATAGCAACTAGTATCCAACTCAAGGCATAATATCAATTCAGTTCTAACAGGACAGATCATGGATTTCCAAGAATAAATTAAATTACTTTACTCTTTACCAAATTGGTTATGGTTATTAACAAGCTCTAATAACCTATCTTTCCTTACGTTGTCAGTAATCAAAACAAACTTTTTGATTACTTCCCTAGCTAATAAACAATCCTAAACAGGCTCTTAGGATTTAGTTTACTAACATCATTACAAGAATTAGAGAGATTACCAATTCTAGCCAACAAACTCAAAAGCATGGTTCATTTAAGCTAGACTATATATCTTCATAAGATAAGATTGAAAATCTAATTCATAATCAACTATGTTATTTGCTACTAGCTTTAGAACACTTAAACAATTACGAATTCAAGGTTCTAATTAGCAACTTAACGACTTCACAATTGAACAACGGGCCCTTTGCAACAATTAATCAAGCAATAACTAAACTCATATAACAGAAGATATATAAATAATAACGTGTAAAGAATAAAATTAAGCTAAATAAATCTCACTGGTCTTGTAGAATTAAACTTCAATAATCGTTGAGTTGGAAAATTCAAACTTAGCAGTACATTGCAGAGAGTGTTTACAGTAAAATAAAGTGATTCTGAGAAAACTTACTATCCCTACTGAAAAATTTAGCCCTATTTATACTACTTCAGGCTCCTAAAAACAATCCTAATTTCCCTAACATTCACAAATAAAATCAATTTCTTCAACCACATAAAACTTAGAAAATAAATAATCTTTAATTTCCTAACCATAGAAAATTAGCAAAGTAGGCTATTGTTGCTCCAACCTTTAATTCAACTAATTTCGTCCGTAGATAGCAGCAGACCACAATTCGAAGAAGCCACAAAAGGAGTCGACGTTAGTTCACAGACGGAGCGCGCGCAGTTCGTCTTCATCGCAGCAGCATACGGAGTCGCCGTTTTGATCTCACGTAAAAGGAAAACAAACATAAAATTGTTTAATTTCATCTTGGGCTTTAATCAATAAAATTAACAAATAGACTACAATGGATCAAATTAAATTAAGTTAGTAAAGAACCCATTTCTTATGTATATTCCTAAAGGCCCAAAATAACATTTAAACTTAATTATTTAAATAATTATTATATTATTACAAAAATATAAAATAAAACATAAAATAAATATAATGTAAAATAAATAAAACTAATTTATTATAAAAAAACTAATCTAATTAAATATAAAAATAGTACTTATCAAAAGTTCATCAGACAGAAACAGACTCCAACCTATCAAAGGGATTATCTTTGTCATAATTCTGGTAGTGAAGACTTTTCCTCATGATATCTCCACAGTTGTAAGCTATGCCAAACTCTCACCTTCCTTTCAATCATTTATCATGAATCTCACATGTCATACTGAGCCTAAAAACTATAAGGAAGCAATAAAACATGTGTGTTGGAGGACAGCCATGAGGGAAGAAATTGCTGCACTGGAGAAAAATTAGACTTGGACATTGGTGGATTTGCCACCATCAAAGAAACCTATAGAGTGTAGGTGAGTGTACAAGATCAAGCACAAGGCTGATGGCACCATTGAAAGGTACAAAGCCAGACCTGTGGCTAAAGGGTACACTCAAACACTTGGCATTGATTATCTTGACACTTTCAATCCAGTGGCCAAGATGACAACCATCAGAATTCTCTTGGCTATAGCTGCTGCAAAGGATTGGCACATTCATCAGATGGATGTGAACAATTCCTTCCTGAATGGGGACATAGAAGAAGAAGTTTATATGGAGCTTCCTCTTGGAGTTGGATGCAAGAAGAATGGTCAAGTCTGTAAACTAGTCAAGTCCCTATATGATTTGAAACAGGTTAGTAGGCAGTGGAACACTAAGTTGTGTGTTACTTTGTAGAAAATGGGTTTCAAACAGTCAATGCCTGATAACTCATTGTTTACCAAAGGCAAAGGATCATCATTTGTGGCACTACTAGTCTATGTTGATGACATAGTGGTGACCAATGCTGATTTAGCTCTAATTCAGCATCTTAAAGTGCAGCTTAATGACATTTTTCAGATCAAGGATCTAGGACCTTTAAAGTATTTTCTAGGTCTAGAAGTTGCAAAACAGAAGAAATGTATTGCAGTATCACAGAGGAAGTATGCCCTTGAGTTGTTAGAAGAAACAGGATTTATTGATTCTAAACTTGTATACAACCCTACAATCCCCTCAAACAAGTTAAGTAAAACTAAGGGTGACTTGCTTGATGATAATACACAGTACAGGAGGCTAGTTGGAAAACTCTTATACCTTACTATCACCAGACCTGACATAAGCTTTGCTACACAACAACTGTCTCAGTTTTTGGACAAACCTACCCACTTACATCTACAAGCAGCTCATAGAGTTCTAAGATACATCAAAAGTGCCCCTGGACAAGGATTGTTCTTTCCAGCCTCAGCTCTTCTGATCTTCATTTAAAGGCATTCTCTGATGCAGATTGGGAGCTTGTGTTGATTCCAGAAAATCTGTTACAGGTTTTTGCATCTTCCTTGGGCAGGCTTTGATCTACTGGAAGTCCAAGAAGCAAGCTACAATCTCTAAGTCTTCCTCAGAAGCAGAATACAGAGCTCTAGCGGCTACTACTTGTGAAGTACAGTGGTTACTTTACTTGCTTGCTGAGTTTGGATTGCATCCTCCTACTCCTTCAGTTGTTTACTGTGATAGCAAATCTGATATAGCCATCAGTGAGAACCCTGTGTTCCATGAACATACAAAACATATCGAAATAGATTGCCACTCAGTCAGAGAAAATCTACAAAAAGGAGTCATCAAGCTATTCCACATTGCTTCCAAAAACCAGTTGACAGGCATTCTTACTAAAGCACAATGTCCAAACACTTTCTACAGTTAGATTTCCAAGCATGGATTGTTCAATATATTCACTCCAGCTTGCGGGTGGCTTTCAGGGAGTAAAGAAAGTGACAGCTTGGCATAACTCCCCCTAAACAATTCGGTTAGCTGTTGTTAGTTGTTTAAGTTGTTAGCAGCATAGTTGAATGTATTCTTTCCCTATGCTCTGTACATATAAATACTTTCTGTGGTTCTTGTTTTTCAATTAATCAGAATACAGTTTTCATAACTTCTGCTTCTATAGTTTTATTCCTTTTCTATCTTCACTCCAACAATTTCATCATATAATAGAATATAGATCAATGTTATATAATTAAGAAATCGCATCCCAATTAGAAAGACATTGACTTGTCACTTACTTTTATATTGAAGTCTTGCACTGGTTTCAATAAACATTACAACATTTGGAATTTATTCGTTGGACTTCACCGACTTATCCGTGTTGTGTTGGATATGGGTGAATAAATCGATACACAAAAAATATATAAAAATATATATTTATTCCAAAAATTGGAATTTCATTTATAGAAAATTAATTCAACCAATTTTGGTACAAAACCAAAATTATATATATATATATATATATATATATATATATATATATATATATATAAAAGAAAGTTCAAATGCGGCGGGGTCTTCCCGTGCGGCAGTACGGCGGAATTCCAGAATACACCAACAGTGTTAACAATATGCACCAACAGTGTAAGTAAAACACACCACAATGAAATGCAATAAAACATCAAAAAATACACAACAGATCCAAAAAATACACCATATAACTCACCACCCCCAATGGTGTATTTCCGAACAGTGTATGTTGTTTTTACTCACACCTAATGGTGTGTGTTTGGTGATGCGTACCTAATTTTCCTCTGTTTTTTGTGGTGTGTTTTCCTAACGTTGATGACGTATATTTGTTGAACTATTGGTGATGCCGCACCGCCGCACCGTAAGACACCGCCGCACCTGAACTCGCCTATATATATATATATATATATATATATATATATATATATATATATATATATATATATATAAACCAAATAGGGATTTATTTTATCAAAAATAATCCCACCACTTGGTACAAAACCAAAAACAAAGAAACAAGTAAGGGTTTCTAACATGAGGTTTTAACCCAACGAGAATAAAATGAAGCAGCAGAAATTCGAGTCTTGTTTACACACACTCTCCTTAAAACCGATTCACCACCTCCCGAGGCTGCTAGGAGCGTTGTGGCGTCAGTCTCCCTGGATAAAACGGACTACGACTTTGGCGTTCGAGCACTCCAACCCAAAGTCCAGCGAAATAGAACACAAGCTGAGCACTCCGATATTTTACGGAAGATGATGGCAGAAATTTTCTTCTTTTGTAAACGGGACGAGAGTTGAGAGAAAAACAAAAGAATTTTGATTGTTCAAAACTACAAGCCAAAAACATTCTGCCAACCACCCTTGCTATTTGTAGGGGAAATATGAATAAATAACCTATTCATGGCACATTAACGAACATTAATCCAATTTAATAATTGGATAATAACGTTAGAAACGGTCATACTTATTATCGAAATAATATCAACGGTCACGAATATAATATCGATTAATTCGTACTGACCAAAACGACTTGTTTCAAAATATCTGAGTAACCTAGAAGTCCGTACAAACTTGAAAGGTTTAACGAATTTGGAACTGGAAACTGCATCTGTGTCGTGCAAAAGTGCAGCATGAATCACTGCATACAACATTGATTCGTGCCTACCTATTCGTGTACATAAGCACAAAAGGAGCTCAACAAATGAGCACGATAGGAGTTCATAACTCCAAGGCACCGAAACGGTGCTCAATCCCAAACTCTACAATTCCAAAGCTACATCCAAAAAGTAGCTTTAAAACTCAAGCAACAACACCATGATTCGTCCAGAGCTACGACTCATGTCCAAAGATGCTAATTTTGATTAGCATATAAATTTAGGCTTAAGTTTGGACTTCTCTCAAATAGGTTCACTTTGAGAATCAATTTCTCATTCACCTATTACCCATTTTTAGCGTACATTATATCAAATTCGTCTCACGACGAAGAACCTGAATCCACTTTGACCCGACACAAATCGGAAGTGGACCCCACATATATTTGTACCACAAAATATTCACTCAAAATGTCATTTTCAGCTAAAAATTCCAACATGTTGATCTGGCAGAGCAGTTACTACACTTGAGGTGACTTTAAAAAAAAAAAAAAAAAGCCATTACTCTATACTATACCTCAAAGGGTAAGACAGTAATCTACTACATCGACATTCAATTAAGATTACTGGTCTAGCTGTTCCGTTAGAGTAGTATCTACTATAGTAATAAGAGCCCAAGAGAGTTAGGCATATAATGGGTAGAAAAAATGGCGGTCAAATTTTTTAATCTCCGTTAACTTTTCTGTTAAATATTATCTTTTTCATTAATTTATGTTAGTTCACCGTTAACTTACTCATTGATTTCAATAAGAAAGGTCTTAGGTTCGAACCACATCTCAATCAAAGTCGGCATAATTAGTACTTGATTGTACCCTTATTAAATTAAAATAATAATTTAGTAGCTACAACAAAAAATAATACATATGCATTTCTTTAATTTAGAATTATGTGTCTACAATGTCTTTATTCAAAAAAAATTATTCATTATCAATATATTAAATAAGAAGAAATAATTTCATTAGTTATCTTGTCTTTATTTTTCTCCAATATAAAAATTCTTCACATTCAAATTTATCAATTGATTATATTTGCTACATTGTCCCTACAATATGTTTATTAAAAAAAATCTAAATAAATTAATTAAAAGAAATAATTTTATTAGTTATATTGTCTTTATTTTTCTCCAATGTAAATATTCTTTACATTCAAATTCATCAATTGATTATATTCACTGCATTGTCTTTTTTTTTTTGTTAATTAAATATCAATGTTATAATACAAAATAATGCTATATATTTATTTACCAAGTATTTTATTAATACCATGAAAAAATTAAAAAATATATATAATTAATAAAGCCAATTATATTAACTACTTGAGGGATTTGTTGATAAAGAGAGTATTCAAATCACACAACCAATTGAAGTGAGAACTACCTCGTAATGTCCTTGTTTGACAATCAGCAGTTAGCGTTAGCGGATTATATTAGCGAATTTGACCAGCGGATTATATCAACGGTTGATAAAAAGATATTTGAAAAAATTAGCTGTTTAGATTAACATGTAAAATAACCTAAGGGTATACATAATAATAATAATAATAATAATAATAATAATAATAATAATAATAATAATAATAATAATAATAATAATAATAATAATAATAATAATAATAATAATTGTTCTAAAAAAATAAAAACATATAATTAAGCCAATCATATTAACTACTTTGGGGGTTTATTGACTAAAAAAAGTATTCAAATAACACAACAAATTCAAGTGAAAAACTACCTCGCAATGTCTTTGTTTGGCAATCAACAGTTAGCTCTTCAATATTAGTATATATTTAATAATTTTATGCCCTAATTTTTATTTGATCTCCCTTATGTCCCGTATTTGGTTTCAACCATACCTATACAATTATTTTATTGACAATTATAACCAATCTTGACTATATTATATTGCAATTGTAAACTTAGAATTACATATTTAAATACGCAAATTAAACATTCAATTATCTATGCATGAATAATTCCAATATAATCTTGTCTTGATATACTTTAAAGTACTTATTAAAAATAAAACACAGGGCATTATCCCAATCGCGCAATGCGCGTAAAAACGAGTATATATATATATATATATATATATATATATATATATATATATATATATATATATATATATATGGGAGATGATTCAAGATTAAAAAACAACATTACTACAAAGTATTCTAAACTTGAATCACTTACAATCACTCCCCATACTCTACAAAATCTACTTCGATTCATCTTCTTCTCAAGACATGTTCTGAAACTTTATGAAGAAGAACTTGAGAAGAAAACATTGATGCTTAATCTAAGGACATGAAGACCATGCAGCTGTGGAACAGTGTAGAGTGAGTCAGCGAATCGGACTACTATACAACAGAATGGTTCTCCAAGAAAGGACTTCTTGGACTTCTGATTGCTCAGATCTCCGACTTCGACTCTTTGCTATAACCTCTACAGTCGGGTACTAACCGTGTGTGGATCACATTGGGTGAGATTTTTTCATCTCTTACCTTCTATACGATTGGTGTTGAAGATAGTGGATTAGACGCACTGATGGTTGTCCCCCCCAGATTTAGATACACGTTGTATCGAACTAGGTAACCAATATCTGTGTCATTTACTTTCTGCCAGTTACATTTCCGCACCATATTGTTTATTGTTGCTATATCTGATAGATCAATCTGTTAGGGTTCATATGATATCTATGTTGGATAACCGTTGGTAAAAATGAATAATAATCCTACAAAATTAGGGATTATTATTTTTTCTGTAGAAAAATGGAAGGAAATGATGAATAGATTGGCTCATGTTTGGAGTAGGGTTTTTAGCGCGAGTTGAGCGATCACTCTTTCCATAAAACCTTATTTGCTACCTCCCACAAGTGTTAGGAGCATTGTAGGCTAGGTTTCCCAAGATAAACCGTGCTACGATTCAGTGTTTGAGCACCCAAACATAGAATCCGGCGAACTAGAGCAAGGTTTAATTTGAACACAATTAGGCTAAGAAAGAGTAGAAGCAGAGAGTTTTGAGACTTGAAAACAATATTTTCTGTGTTGTAAATTTCTGCTGCTCTACCTCTCCTATATAGGGTTGAAGGATTAAATAGCTTTTAATAAGGCACTTAAAGGCACCCCTACAACTCCTGTAACAGCAACCATTATATTGGATTTTAATTCAAAATTTAAAATTAAAATTAACTCCGTAACGGCTGAATTAAAAACCTGACGGTCACATTAGGACAGATTCGTGTGTGCTTTCGGCTAGC